TGTGGGAGATAATGTGTCTCACGCGACAAGCACAAGGCTGCATGATAAGAATGATGTAGATCTGTCAGGGAGATTATTGTAATAAACCCAGTCTGTAAGATACTCGCCAGATGGGAAATACGAAGCAACTCAACTCTGAACAATGTCCCCAATAATCATGAATGTGATCTCTGATACAATGTCTCGTTTCCAGTAGATGAAGAGAGTGGAGGGGGAATAGACAGATTAGAAGGTGGAAGAGATAATAATCATCAATGACCACACAGAGAGTAGCCCAACATTTCCCACTCCTCCGGGCTTCCCCTCGCCTCCACGTCAGCAAAACAGTATTTTGTAACGAGCTTGACAAATCCTGATCACATCGAAGTGCCACGTGGCACAGTTCTTTCGTGGAGACGTTGGAGACAATGAACAGCACACAGTATCGACATCAACCTCAGGTAAGTATCCCGATCCTTCTCAATCATCCACAGATCCTGATCTCCCTCCTTGTCGCGTCCAGTCACCCAATGTAGACATCGTGGCCAATGCCACATCAGCAATGAAGACAGGTGGCATGCACCACATCAGCAATGAAGACAGGAGGCATGCGCCACATCAGCAATGAAGACAGGTGGCATGTGCCACGTCAGCAATGAAGACAGGTGGCATGCGCCACATCAGCAATGACGACAGGTGGCATGCACCACATCAGCAAAGGCTGGCGCTCAATAGAGAGGCGCCAGCATGCTGCCTCAGTCCCATGTCGTCGTCCACAGTGCCAGCACACAGCCAACGTCAAGCCAGCGTCAAGGCAGCATAGCAAGATTGAATGTTGACCCCCTGGAGGCAGGGTCTTATGTAGTGATTGACCGAGTTGACCTGCCTCAATTCTCCCACCCACGGTGGCCCAGATTGACTCACAGCCGAGGGCCTGGATTGCGTACAGTTGCAGACTTTCACTTGGTCCTGATGCTGTCTTGGTACCTGCATACAAACAAGTGTGTGTCTGACCGGCGGCCTGGGCTGGGGACATACAGACTTTGACTCTTGGCGCACTGGGCAGTTGACCAAAGTCAACTGTCAGGCGCACACACCCTGGGTCAACAAGGGAATTTCCCCCCCTGGCCCTTGCGGCCTCAAACCGGGGTCGCGGCCTGCGTGTGGCCTGAGGGCCACTTCAGGGCATATCACGTTACGGACTCAGCCAGGGCTCAATCCCTGGACCGCGGGTTACCACCCGTCGGGCTGCTATTTTATTTTTGAGTCTCTGAAGAAACAAGGCAAAAAAAAAAAAACCATGTCATATTTCGAATCGAATAAATCGGAAACAAGCGCACCATTCATAACCTAAGGAGCGCTAGCTATGATGAATTTCGGGCCAGTGGCCTATTCAACAGTCTCATGAAAGACATTAATCTATGGATTGCTGCCTATAAGATGCTAGCGCCTAATCCAGGATCCCACGAAGGATCCCACGAAGGCGCGAAGCTAGCGCCTAATCCAGGATCCCACGAAGGATCCCACGAAGGCGCGAAGCTAGCGCCTAATCCAGGATCCCACGAAGGCTCCCACGAAGGCGCTGGGGGAACGATAGCTCTTCGAGCCTCTATGAAGTCACTCGAGGACGAAGGACGAAGGACGAAGGACAATGCGCGCTCTTGCGCCTCATGTCACCGGTTCCTGACTGTTGGCGCCCTCTGCAGTTGGCGCCCGTTCTCAAATCCCTCCTCAAGCACTTTCGGATTTCGATACTTGGCACCATCCGACATTCTGGCGCCCAGGCTCAGACCTTCGATTTTCAGTTCAGCCCCAAGGCAAATTGCACTTCTGTCCTCGGACTCAACTTGAGTCCTGTACTTAAGACCGGACTCAAGCCGAGTTCGGCATTCAGTTTTTGGCCTCAGTGCTTGTGCTTCAGTGTGACTTGCTGCGACATTGTGTACGGAACCAAGATTGCGACTTTGCGACTTTGCCACTTTGTGTCTGCATCCGTCAAGTCGTGTCGAGTCTGTGTCGAGTTGAGTGAGTGTGTGTGTGTGCTCGCCCTCCCTCCCTGTCTTCCCCGACCTCGCTGCTCTACCTCCGCCTCATCACACTGGTATTGGAGCGGTCTTGCGACCCTCCTTTTCCGCCACGACATCGACATCGTCATCACCATCGTCGGCACTGCCACATCATCACCATTGCCGCTGTTATCGTCATCGTCGCCGCTGCCACGTCAGTACCTCGTCCTCGCCGCTGCTGCCACGTCACGGGTTCCCGACGCAGCCGCGCAGATAAGTAACGGACAATTTTTTTATTTTTTACTTTTTTTTCTTCTTCTTCTCCTCCGTCATCATGATCGTCGTCGAAGTCCTTCTTCTTCTTCCCCTTCTCCGTCGTCTTCATCATTTTTTCTTCCTATTCTTCTTCTTCCTCTTCTTTCTCCCTCCCGATTTTTCTTCTTCTTCTTCTTCCCCTCCAATCCTCCTCCTCCTCCCTCCGATTGTTCTCCTTCCTCCCCCAATTCTCTTCGCTCCCCCCCCCAGCCTACCCGACCCTGAATCTTCCCCCCTGCGCGCAGTTCTTCGCTCCTGCCACGCTGATCATCCCCACCGCCGGTCTCGATCCCCCCCCCGCACCAACTTCACCCGCGTCACCGTTTCCCGCCCGCGCCACTGTCTCTTATACACATCTAGATGTGTATAAGAGGGGCCCTCACGAGTTCGGCCTGCCCCGAAACTCACCA